GTAAATAAAAAAAATTCTTCTTTTTGAACCACATATTTCAACATCAATCACTATTTCATAATACGTTACTCACAAATAATGAGGCACAAACAAGCACTAATGAAGATTTCAACCATATAAGAGCATTAGAGTCATAAATTCAGTCCTCGTTTGATCCACAATTTTTTAGAATACATTTGTGAAACATGACTTTTTCAAAAATAAAAAATTAAAAAAACAGGGATTACATTATTTTTAAAATTCAAAGTTAAAAAAATAGGGATTGATGTAATTTTTCGTTAGTTAAGCGACAATAAAAATGTTATCTACTATAAAAATACATCACAATCCAACCAAGCCTGTGGAGCTTAGGAAAGAATTCAAACATATATCCTTGAGAATTCAATAAGTATATATCTAATTATAAATTTCGATTATTAATGGGAACTTTATTCTTTAAAAAAAAACGTAGAATTGAAGCCAGACTAAAACTAAATTGTTTCAATAGTTACATGAAAAACTGAATGGTTTTATTTGCATAACACTCGAAGTTCCTTAGTGTCTTTAGTTCTTGAAAAATTCAGACTAAACCACTCGATGCCCAACTCTATTCATTATTGCAAATGTAGATAGTTTCAAGAGTAATTGCTTCGATGTAAAAAATTGAAGTTGTACTTCGATCATTTTATTTAAACAACGATAATTTGAAAATCGAAAGAAAGAAAGAAAAACTAGCACATTCATTCTTTATTCTTTCATAGTCATATATTTCCAAACCTTTTTAGATCTATGAATATAATTTGCATGTGACCGAAGTTGTAAATGTGGATATTAAAATCGTACGCAATGTATACGGGACTCAAAGCTAGATTGCATAACCGTCAACACATATAACATGTGTAATTATAGGTCTTCAAAATTTCTAAAACCTACGAATCTTGATTTTCATGTGACTAGAACTATCAAATTATACCATTTCTATCAAATTCAGTTGGACATTGCATATAATTTTAATGTTATTAATGAAGATTTTAACCATATAAGAGCATTAGATTCATAAATTTAGTCCACATTTGATCCTCAATTTAATAGAATAGATTTGTAAAACATGACTTTTCAAAAAAAAAAATTTGTAATTACAAAGTAGAAAAAAATTTAAACATACGTACAAAATTATTTTATTTCAATATTATATAGTTAAAAATAAATTTTGAGAAAAAAATATAATTTAAAGAATGTGGCTCAAACATCTCATCAATGAAGATTAACAATCACAATCACACCGTTTATTTTAGGAAAATGTCACCTGTACACTTTAACATTTTTGTTGATATTACAAGGGATCGTGCTAAATGTACACACAAATTTGAACAAAAAATTTTACTTACACTCACAATGGGGATAGGGACCGTAAACCAACATTTTTTAAATTCATGTAGGGTCCGCTTCTTTTGTGAGAGGGAGTAATCCATTTTGTAACAATTTGTTTGTACATATATATTTATCCTGATTACAAGTGTTGTCAAGTATTCATTGGAGGAAAATTTGTCAAAAATTTAGCCCTTGTTTCAAGTCCAACTAAAAATTAGTTGATTTTCCATAATTTTTTTTTTTTCAAAATTAGCGTATTAGATGTCAAAAGAGTTCATATGTAATTCTGTATTTCTTGGTCAATAATAGTGGTTGGTTTTTACTTTTTAACGGTAAAAAAAAAGCTAAAATTTGCTAAAAATTTGTTCCAAACAATTGCTTAAACTGTCAGGTGTATTTAGGGATGTAAACGAGCCGAGTGGAGCCGGCTCGCGAGCCGAAATTTTGGGCTCGGGCTCGCCTCGAGTAAATCGTAACGGGCTTTTTTTGGGCCCGAGCCGAGCGAAAGCTCGGCCAAAAAAATAAGGCTCAGCCCGAGCTTTTGGCTTGGGCTTTTTACGAGCCGAGCAGACTCGGTTTTTTAATTTTTTTTTTTGCAATTTTTAATGACGTTTTTTTCACATGCTAATTGTTGTGGTGCAAATTGTTGAATGACATTTTTTTGAAAGAATTTAAAAATTGCATCATTTTTTATTTATACAAATTATAAATTTAATAAAAGTACAACTTTCAAAATTATGTAATTTATACAAATAATAAAATAAATAAAAGTTACAAATTACAACCCTCCTCCTTTTTCCAGGCTTGGGACCGACTACAATTAACGTAGGCGGAGTTAAAATTGTACACAAATAAAATATTTCGTGTACAATTTTTTTGAATCAAATAAATTTAAAAAATACATTTCTTAAAGAAAAATAAATAATTTAAAAACTTACAACATCCTATGTTTGGATATGCTGCAACTCTTCGGCCATTATACTATCAACATGTTCTTGAACACGTAATTCTGCACATTCCCAATCCTTCAAACATATCAAAACCTCCAATATATCTTCTTTTAGTGTTGATCGTTCATCTGATAAAATTCGACCACCTAAACTGAATGCAGCCTCCGATACTACCGTAGACACCGGAGGTGTTAGTAGATCACGCAATTTTTGATACAATTGGGTATTGCCTTTCGTTACATCTCCACCAATTTAAAAGACTAAATTCTTGTAATTCGTGCGGTTGCAACACACTGCGAACATCCACGCACATATACCTAGCTAACTCATAAGGAATTTCAAGATTTGTACCACCAATATTGATCGCTCTAGATGTTGATGAGCTAGAACTAAAACTAAATGAAGGAGCACTTGTATTGCTATCTAAATAATTCCATAAATTTTCGGAATTTGTTGAAATATTTCTTGAAAAAGAACTTTGGGAAGTAGAACTACGCTGACCTTCCTTTTCAGCATAATAATTATACATTTCACATAAAAAAGATTCTATATGCACGTGTGATAATTCTATATTCAAAAAATCTGATATCCCCTTTACAGTAGTTTTTGTGCCAGTTAAATTAAGTCGAGGGTCCATTACTGAAGTTAAAAGAAATAAAGAAGGCAACTATTCCCAGTATCTACAAAATTTTAACTCCATAGAACGGACTACATCAGTAAAAAGTGGCAAATTCCTATTTTTATAAAATACTTGTGAAATGGAGAAAAAATGTTGTAAAACAAGAGAAGATGTAGGGTAATAAACACCGCTACATTCCTTTGTAGCATCGAAAAAAGGTTGTAAGAATTTTTTCACGTAAAATGCAATAGTCCATTCCCAATCTTCCAAATTATGTTCGGGTCCGAGTGTATGCCTACCATTATAATATAGTGAAATCACTTTATCGTAATTTTCACACGAATGTAACATAAGATATGTAGAGTTCCACCTGTGTGTTACATCAGTGGCAAATGATTTCTCCTGTAATCCATACTCTGCACACAAACTATTAAATGCTTGTTTTCTTACTGGTGACACAGTAATAAAATTTATTGCTTGTCTAATTTTATCTAAAGGTGAACTTATATGTTCTAATCCAACTTTTACAATCAAATTAATAATATGACATACGCAACGTTGATGAAAAAATAAATTTCCAAATACAGGATTAAGATCAGCAATAAATCTTTCAATAACAACTTTGTTCACTGCAGCATTATCAAAAGTAAAACTTCGAACCATATCTTGTATAACATATTCCTGTATGATATCTTTTAAAACCATGTATATATTAGTGGCATTATGGAGAAATTCTACACATCTGAATGCAATAATTCTTTTATGTAGAAGCCACATGTGATCAATATAATGAGTCGTAGCAGTAATATAACCTTTTCTATTACAACCAGTCCATAAATCAGAAATAAACGATATCACACTATTAAAACTTTTTAGACCTTCAATAGAAATTTGTTTTCTTCTGTTATATAATTTTATGCTATCTGAACGAAGAGTATTTCTAGAATAAGAAGAATACCTCGGTTGGAGATATTTCTGCACGAGTCGGGTAAAGTGTATTGAGTCTATCATCGTAAGCGGCATCTCTGCTGCAGCCACGTATGCAGCCATTCCTTCACGAAATCTTTCCTGTGAATATACAAAGGTGGAAATAGTAGAATTAGAACCGCCAAACACTAGTTCGGTTTGTTTCGAGTCGAGATCGGCTAGTTTTGCTTTGCAACTCCTCAATGCGTGTCTATTCAAATGCGTTGTGCTCGAGCCAGGCTTTCAACTAAGTTCTTTGCCACAATAATTGCAACATGCTTTCCAAATATTTACTCCATTTTGAACACCAATTTTTTTCGTGTCATATGTTGCCAACAGTCCGATGATTCTTTTTTTGACCTTTTTGTCTCGAATACTTGAACTTCTTCCTTTTCAATATCCTCCAAATTAATTGGAACATTTTCACATGTATCGTAGTTAGATGGAGTACTCGAACTACCGCCAAACTGATTAACTTCATCACTTGTAAAATCCATAATAACCAGTATAATAAAAAATACTGAATATTAGACTGTAAAGTGAAAGAAATTGAATATATTAATTGTTATATGAGAAGTGAGAAAGAAGAAATTGAAACTTGAATCTGAATCTATGATATAGAAATAATGCGAATTAAAATTGATAGCAAAGTGATTTAAAACTTCAAAAATCATCTCGTATTTATAGATAAAAAAACCCGCATTATTTTTCAAATTTGAATTTCAAAAAGATAACAGTATTGTGTACCAATACGAAACAAAAGGCAGCTATAGCTGCCCTAACCGGCAGCTGTAACCTGCTGCCTACAGCTGCCTGTGACCTGCTGCCGTGCAGCAGGTAAAATAATTTTTTTTTCAAAATTTTTTTTTCTTTAATCTGCTCGAGCCGAGCATTTTTGTCACGGGCCATTTTTGGCCCGTGACACGAGCTGGCCTCTTATTTTGAGGCTCGGCCAGAGTCTAGGCTGGATCCCTACGAGCCACGAGTAGGGCGGGCTCGGGCTTTTTCCGAGCCGAGCCATGAGCCGTCCGAGCCATCGAGGTTTTTGACACCCCTAGGTGTTGTCGCATGACAGAGTATAAAAGTTGATTTAAAGAATGATTTACACTTGGCAAGATTGTATTTCACCTCGTCTATTTTCATTCCAACCAAACAGTGAAGAATCTATCCCTATTACTTGCCACATTTTCCTCCTTTCGCCAATCAACGACGAACTAATGAAAGGAAGAGGAACAGAAGGGCGGAGCTCTCCAGCGCCACCAGGGATTCCACCGTCGCTTCCGGGGCCAGGCACTGTTGGATATACGCTGCCACCGGCCCGATTGTTCAATGAGGACATACTGTTCTGCATCGACATCGGCCCAGAAACAATGGTGGAGATGAAGGTGGCGGCGGGACCTAATGGTCGACCCTTCACGAGACTGGAGTCCATAAAGCAGGCCATACTTCTATTTATCAACGCTAAGCTCACTATTAACCCCGATCACCGCTTTGCCTCCGCAGCCCTGACTAAAACGTTTTCCTGGGTAGTTTCTTGTTTCCCTTCAATCTCATTTTTATACAATTAGTATATAAATTGATACATTCGGTATCACAAATATTTGCACTATCTTTCTTTGAGCTTATTGTAACTGGATTCGAGAACCCGAGGGTCAGGATAGGATGAATAGAGGGTTTTATTTCAGGAATTTTGAGTTAGGGTTGGGTTAAATCAGGTCACATGCTCCATTGGTACCTTAGTTCTAGAAGTCTGTTGCTTTCTTTGGCAGATTATAGGGGAGACGCGCTACATTAATTTCATTTTCTGTATACAACAAGATATAATGTTCAAAGCTTGCTTACACCTGAATCTGTCGATTCCTCAATATTTTGGTGAGAATGAAGTGGCTGATATTGCAAAAAGAAATAAAGCTAAAATCTTGTACTTTGTACTTCACTCTTGTAGTATCAATACTCTGTACCGATCTTGATATGAATGTTTTTCGACTTCTGTGTGTGACGTCTAGAGAAGAGTTGTTTTTCTTCCTCTCATGTCCTTTCGTTTCCTTCTCTGATTCTTTATCGTTTTGTTAAAATTTTTGATTCGATTGAGCTCTGATTGCATTTTTCTCGAAAATTGAGTCTCTAATGGTAATGCACTGTAGAATTTCACCTGCAAGACAAAGTACTAGAGTTTAAGCATGGTTCACAGGAAATTTTCTTTAGTAACTTGAAGTTTAGGAGACAAACTCAATCTGTGACTGGATGAGACTGTTATGTCATTTTTTTATTTATTTTTATTTCCTAGTGGGTGTGTTGCACATTATGCTGGAAGGGATGTGTTTTGCTCTTCACAGATGAGGTGGCTGAGCTTACTGTTTAGTGTTTTCAGTTTTTGAAGCAGTGTGCAAGGCATGTTGAATCCCTGATCAACGAAATGTATCTAGTTCACTTTTAACAAATTGGCCATTTGTTTTCTTGGTATCATTTAATTTCAATTGTGTTCAAGTACTAGTAACACAGATAAAGCTGATTTCTCCTTATGCTTCTTTTGTTATTGTGAAGCTCCGAAAAGAGTTCAGCAGTGAAGTTGACTCTGCAACTGCTGCATTGCGAGGAATCACTGTAGATTCATCTTCCAGTCATGCAGATCTCACTCAACTACTCAGAGTAGCAGCTCATGAAGCTAAAAAATCTCGTGCACAAAGTCGGATCTTCCGGGTGGTGAGTGATCAACTTACTATAGCGCATTCCTTACATAATCCTATTACTCTGCATCAACGTGTTTATTTATTTATTTATTATTATTTTTTAAACAATTTTGTGTTCTTATGTTGTTTTGGAATGACGAAGTTACTGCTATTTTGTTGTTAGTTCATCGCATGCAGCTTTGGAATATTTCATTCTACCCCTACTTGTCTAACTCTGATTGTAGTATCTTAATGCAACGGCTTTGTTGATAAGTATCGTTCTTTTCCTATTTTAGCAGTACATTTGTCCAAAGGTTGATGCAAGGAAAAAAAATTGCTGCCATGTGAACATGACAGTAGGTAATATGTAGTTTGTCTTTGATACGGTGCTCATGTTAGAAATTTACTCGAAAGCCCCTGATCGGCATTGTAACAAAATAAACATTAAGCGCTTGCTTGAGCCCCATTTTTTTATCAAAATACTTTCTTCAATAGTGATTTGACATCATTTCAACCATATATTTTTCAATAAAATAATATTACACGCAAATTCAAAACTTTTCCTTATTTTTTAACCACACATTCTCCATCATAACACTATTTCAAAATACATTTTTCTAGAAAAATGGGGTTCAAACAACCCCTAAGAGATATAAAAAAGACACAATACTCTTATTATATCAAATAGATCACTGTCATTTATCCCAAATATTACATCTTAAGAAATGCACTGTTCTAATGTGCATACAATAAATCACAATTAGAATGACTTTCCATCCGGAGAAATGGTATTGCAGCCCATAATTCATCATAACCACTAATCAAAATCAATTTATATTTTATAATATATTCAAATTGGAAGAATTACAAAAGTTACACTTTAATGGATCCCTAAAGGCATGACTATCTTGTCATTATATTGCTTTAATCCGAACAACCTCTTTAAAATTATGCAAGAGAGGATAGCTTAAATGGACAGTAAAGAAAAAACCAAGAACCAAAGAACGGGTGTAAAAAGTAAAGAAAAAACCAAGGACCAAGAACCAAAGTGTTGGAGTCTTGCATCTCGTATTGGAAACATGGAAATAAAAAGGAATGAAGAGAATTCAAAAATGAAAGAAAAACTAACTGGGAAAAGAAGTTAACCGTTATTGTTAGTTAGTTGTAATTCTAGTTAGTTAAGTTAATCATTCTGTTATTCAATTTAATTTCAGTTTGTTTAGTTTGTTGTTTCAGCCGTTCAATTCCTAGTATAAATATGGCTTGTATCTGATCAATGAAGACAATCAATGAAATATGAATTCCTTCTTCAAGTTGCTTTCTCTCTCTTTCTTTTTCTTTGGTTAATTTTCTCCGGTTAATCTTGCAATTCAACATGGTATCAGAGCTAGTTTCATCTAGCTGAATACTTCCGCAACTTCATCTGCTTGTGCTTTGCAAAACTTAATTTCTCTTTACAGAAATTCTGCTCTGAAATTTCCTACACTAATTTCCCAACATGAATTCTGAGGATTCATCCATAAATCCTCCTGCAAATTCAAGCAATTCTTTCGTTAATCTTTCAGACGATTCCTCAAGTCCGTATTATCTTCATCCTAATGACAATCCTGGTGCGTTGCTGGTATCAGAAATTTTTAATGGAGAAAACCATGTCGCATGGAGTCGATCAGTCATTATGGCTTTGACAGTCAAGAACAAGGTAAAGTTCATTGATGGCACAATTTCTCCTCCTCTTGCTGACCAAGCTTATTAATCACACGGCATGGCTGTGTGCGAACAATTTGGTCCTCTCTTGGTTGATGAATTCAATCACCAAAGACATAAGAAACAACTCGTTGTTCGTGGCATCGGCTGTCGACCTCTGGACTGAACTCAAAACCAGGTACCTAAGAAGTGATGGACCAAGAGTCTTTCATCTTGAAAAATCCCCAAGCTGCATAAGTCAAGGATCTTCATCTATCACTGAATATTTCAGCTCTTTTAAGACTTTATGGGATGAATATATCAGTTATAGGCCATTCACAACATGTACGTGTGGAAAAATGGCATCATGTACCTGTGAGTTGTTCAAATTTTTGCAAACTCGACAGCAATCTGATTATGTGCTAAAATTTTTAGTTGGGTTAAATGATTCTTTTGCATCTGTTAGAAGTCAGTTGCTCCTCATGGTTCCGTTACCTAGCATGGCCAAAATATTTTCACTATTGCTTCAAGAAGAAAGCCAAAGACAACTTAATAATGCTGGTGTGTATAATGAGACACATGCCCCTGATGGCCAAGCACCCCAATCAGCAAGCTTACCAACTAAAGTCATTCAAGGGCAGATCCAAGGCATCTGGTCCACATTGCACTTATTGTGGGTATAATGGACATAGAATAGACAAGTGCTTTCAGCTACATGGGTATCCTCCAAACTGGACCGGACCAAAAGGAAAAGAAACACATCTGCTCATGCTGCACTTATGAATCAAGAAGCTTCCAGTCAGAATTGTAATGAGCAACCAAAGTTTTCTTTTACTCCAGAAGAATATCAAAAACTAATGGGACTTGCCAACTCAACATCATCTGATCCATCTACCCAGAACAATGCCAAAGCAGCTGTCAATTTTGCTTCCACATCTCATTTCTCTGGTATTATATCTCATTTTGCTTATTGTGGTTCCGCTGCTGCTTCTTTTAAATCCAATTCTTCTTAGATTCTTGACACGGGTGCAACAGATCACATGATCCGTTCTCCTCTCTTTTATCATACTACACCACAATCCATTAATGCATCCATCTATCTTCCCAATGGTGTCATAGTCCCTGCATCCCATATTGGCACTATATGTCTTTCTGACTCTTTATTCCTTCACAATGTTTTATGTTCCCATTTTTTCTTTCAACCTGTTGTCTGTGTCTAAACTCACCAATCAATCAAATCTTTGCCTCACCTTTACTGCTTCTCATTGCAGTCTACAAGACCAATCAACGAAGATGATGATTGGGATTGCATTTGAGAAAGGACTTTACCACTTCATCCAAGCTTCCCCAAAAACTCAATTCAGCAATCAGATCATTTCCACACCTTCTGCTTTTGCCATTGCCCATTCACAACTAGACATTTGGCATTATAAGCTAGGACAAGTTTCTAGTTCAAGGATGACATTTCTTAAGCAAATAGAACCATCTATCAACATTGGTTGTACTCATGTATGTGAAATATGTCCTCTAGCCAAACAAAGGAAGCTTCCTTTCTCTGTATCTCAGAATAAATCGAATAAAAAGTTTGAATTGACTCATTGTGACGGGGCCCTTTGGCACAATTTCTTACTCTGGCTTTAAATATTTTCTGACTATAGTAGATGATTTTACAAGGTGTACATGGGTTTACATGATGACAACAAAATTAGAAACTTCCTTTTTAATTAAATCCTTTTGTCGAATGGTGAAGACCCAATTTTCTGTCCCTATCAAAATCTTACGATCTGATAATGGTTATGAATTTTCCCTCTCCAAATTCTACAATAAAAATGGCATATTACACCAAAGAAGTTGTGTAGAAACTCCACAACAAAATGGCGTGGTGGAGAGAAAACACCATCACCTTTTAAGCACAGCCAGAGCACTGATGTTTCAAGCTAATATGCCTCTTAATTTTTGGAGTGATTGTGTGCTTACTGCACACATCATCAACAGAATACCCACACCTCTTTTCCAAAATAGAACTCCTTTTGAAATGTTGTTCAATAAAGCACCAAATCTTTCCAATATCAAAATTTTCGGTTGTCTCTGCTTTGCCTCCACCTTGACACAACATAGACAAAAGTTCGATTCAAGAGCATCAAAATGCTTAATCCTGGGATATCCTTCTGATTTCAAAGGATATAAATTGATGGACCTAACCTCGAACAGAATATTTATCTCTAGAAGCGTCATTTTCCATGAAACAATATTTCCTTTTAAAGTTCTTCCATCTCATTCTGAATCTCATTCTCTCTTATTTCCCCACTCAGATTCCTTTCCAGATACTTGCCTTCCTAGCCCATCCTTACCTTTAGCTCAATCTATCCCAATTCAATCAAGTCTATCTCCTTGTACATTTCCTTCTTTTCTTTGTGATTCCAGCACACAAGAAGTTCAAGAATCATTCTCCACTTCTTCTCTTCCACTCACTACCTCTGACATTTCCCTTCCACTCCGGAAATGCAGCAGAATTAAACACACACCTGCTCATTTGCAAGACTATTATTGTGGCAATGCCTACTCATCTTGCATTACATCTCAGACTTCTTCCTCTCCCGGTTGTTCTTCTTCTACCACCACCATCTATCCCATTCAGCACTTTATCTTTGATAATAGACTATCTAAATCTCATAAAGCATTTTCAGCCTCTATCTCAAACTCCTTGGAGCCTAAAACCTTCAAATAGGCCACCCAAATACCTGAATGGCAAGTTGCAATGCAAAATGAAATTAAGGCTCTGGAGTTAAATAAAACCTGGGAGCTTGTTACTCTTCCTAAAGACAAGGTAGCCATCGGTTGTAAGTGGGTTTTCCATATTAAATATAAGGCTGATAGGACCATTGAACGTTATAAAGCACGTTTAGTGGCGAAGGGATACACTCAACGGGAAGGGCTGGATTTCTTTGACACATTTTCTCCAGTGGCCAAAATCACTTCCATTTGTCTTCTTCTTGCTATGGCTGCAATAAAAAATTGGCATCTCCAGCAACTAGATGTCAACAATGCCTTTCTACACGGAGATCTTCATGAAGAAGTCTACATGGAATTGCCACCTGGCATGACTGCAAAGGGTAATCAGACTATTTGCAAGCTTCTAAAAAGCTTCTATGGTCTCAAGCAAGCTTCTAGGCAATGGTTTGCAAAATTATCTCTTGCTCTCCTCGACTATGGTTTTGTACCCAAGACTTTGGCGAAGAGATCGTTTCCCGCAGAATCAGCACCAGTGGAAGAAAATGCTATTGTGTCAATCCAATGAAGCAACGTTATCAATTCAAATCTATTGATCTCAGTGTTTGGATATGAAAAAAAGTTTCTGGGTTTTTGTAAAACATGTTATTATATAATCTGTAACCTGTCGAATTATTTTGTGACAGATGCTGTTAGTCGATGATGTAAAATTCTGAATTGAATTTTTAAATTTGAGCCAATGTGGAAACACTGTTTCCAAAAAATGATGCTTTATTGGAGTTAAAACTCTTATTGCATGTCTGGTAGCAAGGATCGAGTGATACTATACTGTAACAAGGAAGAAAAATAAGTTAAAATTTTGTTCATTCTACCAATTTATCGTACTGCATGCTAAATAGGGGAAGAAATCTTAGTGCGTAATGATTAGATGTGTGGC